ACACGCAGTTTTTTTCTTCATTCAATTATGTTATAATTGTTGTTTACAGAGTGTTTATATAAATAAACTATTGCAATGTCACAAAAGTAGAATTATATATGGTGGTTCTTCATGTTGGAATCATCAGTTCAAATGGATGGTGCAAGTTTTCTCTCCTTTTTGACAGGCAGCAGTGCAGGGAGTGAATAGCACTGAACGATTTTTGGTGCACTCCTTGCTCTCAGCCTTCTGATCCCCACACAAAGCTTCTATAATATCCCTTCTGAATACTAAACTAAAATTAAGAAGATTGGTATTCTTACTAATCAGGAAAAAATATACACCGAGTATCTGGTTGGGACATTATGGATTGGTGATTCTAAGATGCAGAAACACCATTTACAGGTTAAAAATCTTAGACAACTTGCTGCCCCTTTATCACCAATCCACATTCTGGGCAATCCCAATGACCCCGATTAAAAACAAAACCAAAAAAACTCGGCACAAGCAAGGAAGAGATAGGGAGACAAAACAATACTTCAGCCCTGTGAACATGAAACCCAAAGGGCACAGCTGCAGAGGGAAAAGTATTTTTAAAAGGGATGTAAGACTGATAAGGTTGCTGTCCTTACATACCTCCACTGCATAGGATCCTTGTCTCTCCTCCCCCCTGCCCCCCGCCCCTAACAAAAGAGGGCCCTAATTTACAAATGAGGGAAGCACCCTTTCAGCTTTGTAAACCTCAGAGATAATAGCAATGAATCGGTTAAGCTACGGAAAATCCCGGCACCCGCTTTTGGGGCCCAGAAAAAAGGGGAACAGTCTCTCAATGAATGTAAATTCTTTGACTATTGTAATTGAAATTTTAAGGTCCTACTTTAAATATCTAAGCAGAATCAGAGATATCCTTGCTTGCAAAGATTCAGACCCAAAAAAGACAGAAAGGACGATCTCCTGATAAAAATGGAAGGAACTCAAAACTAATTATTAATTTACTTACACTCCCAGTTGAAGAAATAGCCTCTAGAGAATACCTTAATGTAATAATAGAGGCAGAGTTTGCAGTCACTTAAGAACCAGACTTAGACTATACAGGGAATAGTATCTCTGGACCGAAGGCACTAAAATGACACTGCCCTAAGAAAACCCACCACAATACAGTGTGATTGTATAAGTTCTAACAGTAAAAATGCTGACTGAGCTCAAAGGTGTGAAATTGTATAGAACAAGAGACCAGACCCTCAAACAACCAATAAACCTGTAAACAAATTCCAAACTATGAGGTAAACAGCAATTTCTTTATTGTGGTCTGCCACAGGAATCCACTCACTCACCATGGGTGGTGCCTCCTCATGGCTGTTCTGGGGATTAGCTCTCTTCCAGGTCCCACCCTCCTCACCCCCCGCATTCTCTCCCACTGGCCTCTCTCACTCCAGGAGCTGCAGCTTCCTCTTCCTAACTCAGTCCTCTGGCCAGGTCACTAAGTGGTTTCCCCTTCCAGGGCAGAGTCTCACTGGACCCGCTGTCCAGGCGATGCCACTTAGTCAGTGACTGGTAAGGGAACTCAGGCTCACCCATCACCCAAGTTCCAGCCTGGGGACCCTACAACAGACAGCCAAAGTCTGTTGAGTCCCTAACCCTGCTGGCTTTTCCCCTGGGCTGCTTCCTACTTCACTTCCCACTTGCTTTCTTCTGCACCCTTCTCTATTCTGGGTATGTCCTTCCCTCAGAGCCAGGCAGCCCGGGGTCCTGCTCTTTCCCTTAGTGCCATCCTTCCCTCTCTAATGCACAAAGTGGCTGCAGACTTCCTCACTGTAACCCTTTCTGGTGCCAGCTTCCTGGCTTTATGCTAGTCCAGCCTCAGCTGAGCTCCATCTTCCAGTCAGGTCTTGCTTCGCCAGCCTAAATCCCTCATGTGTGGCCTATCTCACTAATTGGCCCTTTTCTCAGCTTTCTTAACCCTTTTGGGGATGGTGAACACCCCTCACATGGTCCTATAAAACTGAAGGGAGAAGATTATAAATAGCACATGGAACACCTAGATTGTAAAAGAGTATCAGACACTATATCGGATAGCCCCAATCTCTCTAAATTTAAACTTTCACAAGCAAAATCATTATGGGAAGAGCTGCCATGTCAGAATGCAGAAAGGAACCCTTTGGCATGCAAAACAAAAGGAGATGGTCAGCAGCTGATAGCTGCAACAGATCTGTAAACCAAGCCCATCCAAAGAGTTTTGTGCTGGATCTTGTTGTGACCAGTTCATTGCTAGACAACCTCACTTCTGAATTATAAGGTTGAATGCAGAAGGTAGGGGTGCAGGGTCCATTGCTTTTGATGAGGGCAAGAACTAAGGTTTGTGTGTAAATAAGCACTGCTTTGATTTAAAGAGCACTGAAAAAACTGAAGTGCCAGTTTACTAACTTGAGCTACACACTGTTTACGTGGAGTTCTCTTTTGGACTACGTACAGTTTGCTTGAGTCCTGTGACTCCAGATGAGCTCCCCATCCTGTGAGATGGAGACTGACATTCAGGGTTAGGATTAAACCAATCCAGCTCATGGAGAATTACTACCTCCATTAAGTTTTTTTCCTGGAGAAGATTGGTAATGGAAAAAAGATACTTTTGCTTTTAGATATAGAAGAGATTAGGAGTGACTGAAAATCATTATCATATTAAGGCTGTTTGTTGTCTCAGTCCATATCACAAGAAACATCACCAAGACTGGCACGCTCGAGGACATTCTTAAGATAGACCAAGGACTGAATAGGTGCAGACAGTGAAGCACTGATGAGAGTAGTGATACTTGGCATTTATATAGCACTTGGAATCTTCAAATTCTGTACAAACATATGTCAGCTAATCCACCCTCACATAATAGAAGTGGTCCCCTCCAGAGTAAAACTGAGGTACCTAGGTAGAACTTACAGTACATATACAAGAGACACATTTATAAATTCATTTCAGTTTTAGAGATATTATGGGTTCTAGAATTTGAAGAATACAGAATATAACAGCAACTAGAATTAAATTTTCAAGTGCATTCACTATAAACAAAGGTCTTCAGTCTCCATGGCTGTCAGTTTGGTACCTGAACAACACAAGAACTACATTCATGCACTACTGGCTTGCTGCCTAGACTGGAAAATTGAGAAATAATTTTATTGTGGGTCAAAAGAAACATTTGATTCAACCCAAAATAAAAAAAATTTGGACTTCAATTTTATTTAAAAAAATATTAAGAAAAGTTAAAGTAAATTTTGAAACAAAGAGTCATTTAGAAAATGTCAAAACAAGGAGTTTTTCTCTTTTGGGAATTTTGTTTGTTTTTTCTTCCTCTCAGAGTGAAACATTTCAGCAAATTCAACACAAATGTGTGACATGTTTCAGTTGACCCAAATCTGCATTTTGTAGTAGTCTGGTTTATAGGAGACAATGGGGGCATCAAGTTCCCAAACCACAACTCCTATGAGGCAATGTGCCAAAATGGGAACATGCAGTTTAATGTTGAACTGACTGGAAATTAAGCATTTGGGGTCACTTCAACAAACCAGACCAAAATGTTTTGACTTTGGGAATGTTGAAATGTTTAATTTTTATAAAAAATGTTGAAACAATTGATCAAAACAGAACAGAAATGTGACACCTGAATTGAAAATCTTTTTGAATTTCTGTTCCATGAAAAATATCGAAACTTTTCATTCTGATTTAGAATGAAAACAAAAATGTTGAAATGTCAGAATTTTCCACAGTATGAAAATTCTGAATTTTGCTCAATACTTGATTTTTTTGAACTGAAGGAAATCTTGAAATATATCTTGAAAAATCCTTTTTTAGCTCAGGACTCCAGAAATTCTTGAGACATATCTTGAAAGATGAAGTCTGAAAAGCTGACATAGTGCTTTCACCCAGTCACACATGGTACACTACTTAAATATTTGTGGAGATAGAAATAATATATATTGAAACATTTAAATGCACTGGGAAGTTCAGAGAGGCACACTACTAGCAGTGCTTCTGCAGAGGGAAAGCAATACTGGTGATTAGAAACCTGGGAAAAAGAAGGCATCAAAAACCCTGATTGTTGCTGCTTGCCTGTCAATGGAGGAGCACAGATTGGAGATCTCTAAGAGTGAAGAACATATTATGTATTATATTTTTTCATAAGAGAATCAATAGATGTTCTAAAAAGGGGCAGCTTTAAATATACAAGAGCATCAGTGAAAGTGTGTGTAGAAAACTTGTGCAAAATAGGAACTTGCAATCTCACCTTTGCCATTGATCTATATAGCTTCTTGGAAACAGTACAGAATAGCTACTTTTCTGATGATGGCATTGTATATTTAATCATAAATAATCTGAATCATTAATGACTATATCTTCAATCATTTTATAACAGAGAATGGAAACATTAGTAATTACAGTTCCGATATAACTAAACATTTTCAAATTGTTCATTTCCTAAGGATAGGTCTGTTTAAGGAAAGTAGCTGACAAAGCACAATTCCAATTTACTTCATGGTTGGTATAATACAGAACATTATAAAATTTAATCGATGGGATTTAATATCATGTCTCCCTTTAGCTTTCATGGAAACTAGGCCGCTAAATCCCTATTCACCTCATACAAAATGTGTCCCCACATACTTATTCATACTTTTCCAGCTATGTGTAGAAGTGGTGCAATTCCCTCTTCAGTAAAGGCTGCAGAATGTATTTAGACTGCTGTTGAAAAAAATACTACAGAATGTCTCACAAATAAGAAAACAGGTAGTGGCAAACAGTCGATTATTCTCCTCAGCACTAATGTAAAGGAATGCTGCATCAAGGAAATTATAAGCTACATCCAGCTTCTTATTAGTATGCTTTCCTACTGCTTAGCAGCCAGAGGCAGATACAGCAAGACACAGAATTCCTGTTGATGATGCCAAACTTGCTCCAATACAGGTCACAGTATTATAAGCAAAATATTAAGTGCTTAGTTGAAAATTGGTAGAAATAAACTTTCAGGATTACTTACCTGGTTCTCTTCATGAGAAACCCTCATCTGCTCTTTAAGAACTGACATTCTGGCAGCTTCTTCTTTTCTCAAGACTCTTTCCTTTTTTAGCTCAGGGCTCCAGAAAGTCTTGATGCTATTCATGGAAGATCCCAGCTTACTGTCCTTGATATCCAGTTCTTTTCTCAGAAGATCATTCTCTCTTTGTAGTTCCTTGAGCTGAGCCTGTAGATCTAGCATGGTACTATCCCTTACCTGTCTCAGCATAGAGGGAACTTGATGATGATGATGATGTGAAGATGTGGTCAGACCTCCATGCTGATCAGTATAAGAAAGGACATCTGTATGAGAAAGTCCAACTGAAGCAATATTTGGACTACTCCCCATGGCTGTGACTCGACCACCATACACAGCTCGATTTGTAGCCCTTCCAAGAGTCATTGTGCCCTTTGGGAAAGTAGTAGATGCTACACCTTCATGGTCACTAAGATACATCGGTCCAGATGTTGCATAGGCTGCATTAAGGGACTGGATGTTCTCCATTGATAGTGTCTTACCCGTTCCTCCACCTCCCCCGCTGCTTGTTCTCCTGTGGCCCAGACGAGGCGATCTTGGCAAACGAGGAGACCTGGAAGGACTGCCTTCCAAATTACTGATTGTTCTTGCACTTCCATACATTTTTCTACTACTGTGAGGTACTATTTAATAAGAAATTAGTAACACTGATGTTGGATATTAAACCTATAATTCCAGATAATAATGCTGGCAAACGGTTTCACTGCATTCTTCAAGTAGGCAAAAACTGATGAAGATCTGGAAAAAAAAAATTAAAGTTGAATAAAGTAACAAATTAAATATAAAGTAACTTTACAAAGATGAAAGTGGATCAGAAAACACAGCATACATCAACTGGTCTTGGAATAATTATTTTTAAAGTAAGAATAATACTGTATTTTACATTTAGGATTATGACCTGTGAATTTCCATATTTAATGGAATTTCAAATGGAGAAACAACTGTTCATTTTTTTCTTGCTAGAAACTATTTTTGGCATTTTGACTTAGTAACACTGTGGACCAAATATATCCCTAATGTAACTTCAGTCATTTAAGTCAATTCATTTAAATCAATTATCACAATGAAATTACACCAGGGATGGAACTGTCTGATGTCTACACAAAAACAAATTGAAACCAGAGGTCAAGAATATATTTTCAAAACACAACATATCTGTTTTCCTGTAATAACATTGGCTGAATAAATACCACAATGGTGGGGACATGATGGAGGCCACGAGAGGGGAGGTTAAATAAAACACAGTACTTCTGATAGCTCCGCTTTAGCGGTAGAAACAGATATTGTTAAGCTAAATTTTAAGGTTTACAATAAGACAGTTAATTTCAGAGAATAATTGTCTTCAGAACAATTAGAAATTATTAGAAAGATGACTGGCACTATAAATCACAGGCTTGTTGGTATTTGTTGTTTGCCTACTTCAAGGAAAAAGTATATTATAAACAGTTAATTCTTTCCTCAAGTAAAGGAGGGACTGTCAAATCTCCTTTTCTGCATTTGGTGTCATAATGGTATTTCTGTAGCAAGCTTACTTTTGTAATTGATTTAAATAATCAGAACAGTTAAAGTTACTGGGAATTTCATAACCAGTAAAAATAAACATAATAATAAAGAATCTGATAATACCAGGAACATCTGATCCACATTTATCACCCATAACTATGAGCCTTCACTGATTTTTTTTAAACAACAAACAAGCATTCCAAGCAATCTGTGAAATTAAGTAACTTGGCTGCAATAACTAAACCAGATCTAAAATAATTTCTTAAAGAGGTGATTAGTTCAGAGCAGCAGCAGCAAGTCTAAGTCACTTAAATCCAGCAATTTTTAAGCATTTCCCCAGGACATTACGACTACATACAGGTACCCTATTCCAATTCTATAATGTTCATTCTACATTTGTGTTGAGGGTTGTTGTTGTTTTTTTGGTTGGGGGGGGAGGTGGGAAGAGAGAGAGGGAATGTAAATATTCTTAAAACAAGAATAAAGCTAGTATATTAAGTCATTGCCACTGTGTTTGAACCATTTTAGAAAAAGCAATTACGGACATTAGTGCAAACAAAGACAAAAACAAGTCCCCACTATACTAGAGAAATGTACCATTGCAAACCATTCTAATCTCCAAGATTTGTAAACCATCCATGACCTCATACAAGTGTGTTCCAAGTGGTTTACATGGATTCTAAAAACTGTTGGGAGTAGACTAGGTTTTCAATAGGTCTAAGAATCAGTATAGTGTAAACCACTTCAGTATGAGCTGTTTCATTGCAAGCATGGATTTGGACACGCTAAAATGTTTCTTCTTGATCCCCTCGGTACTATTCTGCAGCACATCAGTGCCCTTTCAAAATATTCCAGAATCCACTTTTTATGCGAATTGGCCCTGGAATTATAGGACTAGTACCTGGATGGCATTGCAATGGAAATGGTTTAAAATAGTGATTGTGGATATGGGGCAAAAATGCAAGGTTCTGATGTCCTTCAATGTGGCTAAAATGAACACACCGAACGGTTTGTGCTGAAACTGTTTCTATCCAAGCAGTCCAATTTCAAATAGTTCCCTTCTCTAGTGCAAATACAGCCCTAGGCAAACTGGATCAACCAGTGCTAACAAAACATTGTTTTGTATTAACCAGCTTAACGAGAGACACTGTTTCCTGTTGGTTTGTATTTTCCCCAGCAGGTGAGAGGAAGTTCTGTTGTCCCAAAATACAGATGTTTCTTCCATGTAGAAATAAGCCTCAATTTTGCAGGATGCCACACAGGCACATCCATTCTGACAAGTACTGGAATTTTGACTATTTAAGCAGAAATAGTGGATGTGAAATTAGACTCTAGCAACGCTCTCCTGCTGAAGTATACAAGTAAATTCCAATGAAGTCAATGGGAACTACTCAGCCTTTAGAGTAATGCTGAAACGTTTTAATCATATAGGCCAAAGCCTTGCCCAAGGAATTGAGCCCTGAAGCCGTTAGGAGTCTTACTGGAATTCTACTGCAATGGAGGCAAACTCAAATCCTAGAAGAGCCAGATGCAGTTTCCCTATCTAAGTTCTTACGACAGTGCCTGTTATCCTAGTATTTGGGTGCCCAAACATACCCCCAGTAAAGAGACAAAATCTATGTCTCGCCAGCTCCAGCTGACACATAGTATATAACAATTGATTCACTAGGGTACACAATATTTCTGACATCTCAGTTCCAAAACAATCAGGGAGTGAAGTTAAGGTCACTGAAGCAGAGAACACACAACACCTCATGACTGTTGGGGTCGGGACGATTTGATCCTGTCTCATAATTCCCCAATCACCCTCTCACCAAATTTTTTTTTTAAATATAGTCAGAGATCCCTGATGATCTCTACTTCCCCACAACAGCACAATAGGTATAGAGTGAGGATCCATATATAACAACTCAAAGATCATGCAGCTAATTTGTATGTGCTTCCCACCACCAAGAGCAACTCCTTTCCACATCGATAAACAGTAGGCACAGTGATAAGCAAGGAGATGCATTGGTAATGGACTACCAAAATCCTTAGTATTGTTTAAACTGAGCTCTCTTAAAAGCTTCAGATGTGGGAGGCTGAGGCATTGGTGAGGTTGTGTCTGAGAGAAACATAGGACTCACCTACAGTATATCAGGACCATGTCTGGTATTCTAATGCCACCATTTCTACCACAATTTGGTATGGGTATGATTTACATTGGCTCCTTTAATTCATTTATTAAGTTACTTAGCCCTCCTTTTTTAGCTGTAGTCTGTTCAATTCCTTCCCTCTCCAGCATGTGTGAAGTCTGTAAGATTAATGACTGTAACAGAGCAATAATTTGGGTCTTGTTCAACACTGATTTTTTTCATCAATCCCTATTGCTGAGCTTGTAGAAAGAGGCCTTGCTTTTCCCCAGACTTCTCCTTTACTGTGTGCTTTTGTGATATGTTCACATTTCTGTTTTAATAATGTAACCTATATGTGAAAGTTCTGAAAACAAGAAAAAAAAAGTGAGGAAACAGCAACTGAAAAATTACTTAAGAAACATCTGCAGTTCATGTGTATTTTAATTTGCAATCCATTGCACATCTTATTTTGAATTATACAGATCTGCATGCAAAATGTAGCCAGTGCGAAATACAGCATACAAACATGTTTCCTTATGTGGGAGTACATCAATTAATTGTGGGCTAATCCTGTCCCTTTCTGTATGGCTGTGAAAGAGTCCCAGATGCAGTAGAAGCAGTTTAGAACTGCTGCAAGGAGGAGACGAGAAAGGTTTTGAGGGCACCTACACAGAGGGTCCTCCTTCCTGAAATCCATACAAGCTAGCTCCACGGGGATTTCCTGCGTCCCCCAGGTATCAGAATTCAGGGGCCAGCATGGAGCCCAGGAGCAGCAGGGGACACTTCCCTCAGGGCCACAGTAGCAGCCACCCCTCACCGCTTATAGAATCTACTGGCATTAAACCCAGTTAGTGAGCTTGGGCTGAGGAAGAGGCACATGCAGAGGATTCAGACCCTGGAAATTAAATGCCATTTACAATGTTTCTCTTGAATAAATGCTATCAGCACAAAATGTAATTCATTTAGAAGCAAACACTGCTGCCCCCATCCCTCAAGCATGGAGTGTCCTAAACCAGAGCAAAACCAGGTGGTTCCAGGGCATGGAGGCTGGAGAGTAAATCAAAGAGAGATCATGCCAATGATAAGCATCTCCTGCCTATCACCCTAGAAGGGGCTTTAGGAACAAAGTCAGGGGATCCACAACCACATGCATCCACATCCACAATCCACAACCACCAGCCACTGAAGCTACAGAGGTTGCAGTAGCAGGCCTAGAGCAGCTCCAATACAGCTATGTGGACTGGCTTGGGAGGACTGCATTCTTCCCCATCCCCACCCAAACTTTTCTGTGGCCCCTCTTCCTCCCAAGCTCATTTACTCAGGCCTGGGACAGAGTGTAGGATTTGGTCCATATTAGATATGGATCAGGGTCATATTTTCTTTAAACAGTTACTTTCCATTTTTTAAAAATCCAATCATTTCAATGTAGTGGCACTAGAAATATTAAAAACTGCACATTTATTGTCTCAACAATTTATTTTAATAGCTTTTAAATGTGTATTTTATATTAATTTCTAAAGCTACCTGTTATTATTTTAATATCAAATATTGTTTAATGTAAAAAAAGATTTGGGGCCTCTTAAGAACACATGCTCAGAAAGAAAATTATTGGGTATTTTATTCTAGGGTCTCCCCTGAAGATCTGAGAGAATAGGGAATAGTCTATTTTAGGAAGAAAGTACTTCTTGATGGCTGTTCTAAATTAGGTTTCATTTATTTTCAAGATTTCTGCCTCATCTCATCCTCTGTATTCTGCTGACAATAATATCATGGACTCACATGATCTACATAAGTCTCACACACTGGATTTTATTTGAATTTTACTTTCTATTTTTATTTAGACTAAAAACTCAAGCTTTTAATTCTAGTACTGCCTTACTACTATATTTCCAAGTGCACTAATATTCTTGTGGTACACATTATACAGTTTTCTTGCAAGAATATAATCTTCACTAAGCTCTGAGATTTGTTTTATATTCATTATTA